AAACAAAGCAGTCCTGAATTATTCTGTCGGCAAAAACACAATCATGAAGTGAGCTGAAATCAGATTTTCTTCGGCGGATTACCGAGAGGCAAATTTAAAATGATATTGCAAATAATACCTCATAATTACAATGTGAGTGATGAGCTCCCTTAATCATGCCTCGCAGCTATGTTTGTTAATAAGAAAACAATGCCGAGTGGTGTTGTGACATTTTTCTCATTATTTTTAACGTAGCCCTCAGTTTTCAGGCCACATTTTCAGCTGGAGCAAATAGCCTTCATCACCTCCAGTACAAATAGGCTGCTTGACACCAGCCAAGTCTCTGACCTGGTTTTGCTTTAAAAAAAGGCTCTTTACCCCCAAAAGTAGGGAAGGAGAGCAGACCTGTGGAATTCTGGTTCATTTCAATTAAAACGCTTTGCATTAATCATGTATTTGACGTGCTAAATGTTCCTAATTAACATCCAGCTTTAAACCACATGTGCTTCAGCCTGTGTTCAAACGACAGAGCTGCACAGGTAACGTCAGGAAAACCATGAGCAGATGGCAGAGCACAGCTGTACTGAAATTTGGGTGAGGTGTTTGTCCCTGTTAAGCAAAGCTGAAGCCTGAGCAGCAGTAGTGACATGGGGCAGGGCTGTGTCCAACACAGTGGAGATGTGAGCACGTCCTGCCATTTGGGTGCCAGCACCGGAGTCCTGGGCTGGAGGAAGGATCGTAGAATCATAGAATGGCCTGGGTTGCAAAGGACCACAGTGCTCATCCAGTTCCAACCCCTGCTGTGTGCAGGTCGCCAGCCATCAGAACAGGCTGCCCAGAGCCACATCCAGCCTGGCCTTGAATGCCTGCAGGGATGGGGCATCCACAGCCTCCTTGGGCAACCTGTGCCAGTGCCTCACCACCCTGTGTGTGAAAACCTTCCTCCTAATATCCAACCTAAACCTCCCCTGTCTCACTTTAAAACCATTCCCCTTGTCCTGTCACCATCCACCCGTGTAAACAGATGCTCATGGCCAGCGTTGATTGTAACGGCTGCCAGTGCTGCGTGTTCTGAGTAGCCAGGATTGGGAGCAGTGACATCAGCAAGGGTGGATTGGTGATTATTTTATTGGGAGCTGCTGAATTTGCCCCCTCCCAGCTCACCATCATGCCGTTGGCCTCAATCAGGTGCGTGGCTTCATCGGGCATCCGGAGGCGAGGTCTGCCGTGCTTCCTTTTAATGCTTTTAGTGCCATTCCTGGAACTGCGGCGTCTGGGGAAAAGCGTTCGAAATTGCACATCATTAGCATGCTGAAGAGGAGGTAATGTATGTAAAGCATTTGACCTCCTTCTGGCTCCTGTGGCCAGGACAAATTCTGATTTCATTTGCAGCAGTGCAGATTCTGAATATCTACATTAAGCACGTTAAGTTCAGTGGAGTTACTCTGAATTTATACTGCTGCACCTGGTAAATGGGAGATGTCACTAACAGCCTTTTTGTGACCCAAGGGAAGGAAGTAATGAAGGCAACCTGCAAATGAAGGGATGAAAACAGTTCCCGACAACAGGACTTCTGCTAGGGTGTGAAATTTATTGGGAGCTGCTGCGCGCTCAGCGTTTTTTAAAGCCAGCTCACGCTTTGGGTGCTGAGGTATGGAATTAGGAGCCTTAGAGTAGGCGTTGAGATTTGGAAACACGTCCAAGGTTACCTGGGACCCACCTGAAGAAAAGGAGAGTGGTTTGAGAGAAGTTAAAGGATGGGGAAGGGAAAATCTTTCATTTCTTGTTTTCATTCCTTTTTCCAAGAAAGAAGAGAAGAAGGTGGGGAAGAGTTTAAAAACAAAACCAGAAGAAGAGGAGGGAGTGGAGCCTAAAGCCTGTTTCACGCAAAATTAGTTGAAGGGATTAAATATCCCACAAAATAACGATTGCCACATTTTTTATTCTCTCCCTGGATGAGTAAAACACCCGTGAAACATCCACCATGCATTTCCGTTCAGCTAATCCCCGCCTGCACACTCCAAATTCAATATCGCCAGCTATTCTCGGTGCTAAAGAATCATTTTACTTTTTCCAAGTACACAGAAAATTCGAAACAGCTGGAGATGAAGGATTCCTTTGTGTGCAACCTCTCCATCCTGCATCTCAGCAAGGAGGAAAACCTGCACTGTGCTGGTGGTGGATGCGATGGAGATGCAGGAGCCCGACTTGGTGCTGGGTGCTCCTTGGAGCCACGTGTCCCTTCCTTGCTTTTTCTGAGGGAAATAGCCAGATTTTGACATGCCAGCTTCCTCAGAAGAAGAACAGCTGGTCTGTTGCCTGCACGTGTTGGATGTTAATGATTGGTCTTGAAAATATGTCAGGTTTCAGTGTGGGCTCTCATTCATCCATGCAAGAGGAGACCTGTGGCTCCGGGGTAAGATTGATCCATCTCTCTGGATCCCAGTGTCCCATGGGGTGGAAGGGGGAGGAACTGTTGTGCAGAGGAGGCAGCTCCTCTCCATGGGAGTCCATTGGGTTTGGGTCCCAATGGCTGGACATGCTCAGTCCCTGCACCGTGACCCTGCCGTGTGCATCAGTGCTCCCTGCACACTGCTTGGGTCTAAATCCAGATGTACATAAATGACATTTAACATTATTAGTGACAGGATGAGGGGAAGTGGCTTGAAACTGGAAGAGAGTCAATTTAGACTAGAGATTAGGAAGAAATTCTTTACTGTGAGGGTAGTGAGACACTGGAACAGGCTGCCCAGAGAAGTTCTGGATGCCACCATGCTGGAAGCATTCAAGGCCAGGCTGGATGGGGCTGTGAGCAACCTGGTCTAGAGGGAGGTGTCCCTGCCTACAGCAGGGTGTTGGAACTAGATGATCTTAAAGGTCCCTTCCAACCCAAACCATCCTATGATTCCATGATTATTAGATTAATTTGGACAAACCCCCCACATATTAGTGGGGGTCCTTACAGGATCCAGTTGTCTAATAGCTTTCACTCACAAACCAGCCACTCTACATCAGATTCTTAGAAAATCCTTACAGGAAGTTGGTTTTTGTGTGTACTTTTGCTTTCCACACAGGAGGAAATCTGTAGCTAATGGGAGTTTCCATGTATGAGAAGATTCTATGGGTCTTCCACCATTCCCTTGCACTGGTCCCAGGTAAGAGGGGTCTGGCTGAAACTGGTGCAGGTGTTTGGGGAGAAAAGAGGATTGATGAAAAGTAATTCCTGAGTGCAAATGTAGGAAAGGTTCTGGCTGAGCAGCATGATTCCCATATGTCCCATGGGTTGCCTTGCCTTGTGCTGGTGGAGCACAGCAATGGGAGACGCTCACCTGGTAATGGAGAGAAATAGGATTAGTTTTCAATAATGAAGTGTATGAAAATCAGTTGATGTTACCATACAAGCGTTGTTTGGTTGGATTTCCACTAAAAGTGAACTTGACAAGCCTAAAATATGGTATTAACAGAAGTGATTCTGTTTGCTCCCTGTGCAGCTTCTGGTGGCTGCTGCCAAAGACCTGCCATGCTCGGGGCATGGCTGCGTTTCTTCCATGTGCTGGTTTGTTGGGTCTCATACTGATGGACGTGCCATAAACCAGCAGCTGCCAATGGGGGAAGGGCTTTGGTGGCTCCTGGGGGCCATCAGTGAGCATTTCACATAATGCTCTCAGAGGTGAGGTGCGACCAGTCCTTTGGATCTTATTCCTAAGCTGATGTCATGCATCTCCCTCTCCCTAATTTATTGAAACAGTCGTGTTTCCTTACAAAGGAACAAAAAACAAGAGTTATCAGTGTGGAGTAAATGACCACTTACCAACAGCTTTCCAGCATTGAGTTGTTGTGTCCCAGGGGTCTGGAGCAGCCCTACAGCACCGAGCCCATGGGCTCCTCCAAGAGGAGGGAGGTTCACATCAGAAAGCAGGGCTGCATGCTGCCTTGAAGGCATTATTACTTCCTTAGGCTGGAGATGCTAACAGTCCAGGCTCTATCACGGGCCCTGTATTTTTAGGAATTGAATTTATGACAAGATGTTTCAAAGCAATCTGTATAAGAGGAAGCAAGTCTGAGATCCTGCTGTGCCCATGCCAGGAGGTCCCAGGTTCCTTCTGAGTTTATGGCCAGGATTTGGTTTCAGCAGTAATCTGAGGGAACTGGTTGGCTCTTTCCTGCCTGTGCCTGGCCCACGTCCAGCAGCACAGCGGAGAATGAAGAGGTGAGTGGTTGTGACCACTTACATTCTTTCCTTTTTAGTCCTCGTTGTCAATTACCTTGGGTTAGATGAGGTGGCACAAGAGACTGAGTCTCTCCACGTGTGCCAAAGGCATTGTTAGAAGAGCTCTGATGCTGACGGAAGAGACTGAGCTTCTGCTGATCCCAATTAGCTGATTATCCCAAAGGGAATTGGAAATGAAGGTTATCTTTCAACTTGTGATGAGCTTCCAAATAAATATTCAACATGCATTTAAATAAGACAGTTTTATGCATTATTTAAGTATCAATTGATGGGTAGGAGACAAAACACTACTACAGTGATGCTGAGGTCTGAAAGGCAAGGATGGAAATCTGGTGAATGAGTCATTAAAGGAGATTGGTATCACTCGTTTCACTGGATTATTGTTTATACAGTAATCACGAAAAGAATGTTAGCAAGAATTCATCTCTACATTTTGGATTGTTTGGGGTCATTTTGTTTCTTTTGTTGTTTTAAAGCATGAGGTGAGTATGGATACACAATGAGTGAGAGGGTTGGGGAAAGAGGGCGTCCATGGCAGGTGGTCCAGCCTCCAGCCCAGGGAAAGGTGAGCTCTCTTTAGGGCACTGAAGTCTATAGTGCCTGGGTGTGACATTGTCCTTTGGTGGAGTTTAGTGCCAACTTCAGAGAGAATAACCATTTTGTGTTATTCAAGGACAGAGAGCTAAATCTCTAAATGAGTTTGATTTTCTCTTGCTTTTGATTCTGGCCCATTTCAGGATGGACTTTGCTGGAGGCAAGAACCTGTCCAAGGTGTGGATCTGCTGCATGTGCTCATCTGGAATTTTTAGCGCCTTGAGGCTCGAGGGACATCTTGACTGTTCCTCATTCCAACTCTTGCTGGATTACTTGTCCAAGGTACAGAGCAGTGATGTGCTCCATTCACTTTGAGGAACTGGGGCTCTGCTGTGTGCTGCCTCACGGTCTGGTCCTTGTGTTAGGAAGGATCAGCAGTGAGTTGGATGAAGTCCTCAGACATATTCACAACAGCTCTTCATTTTCTCGTGGCCAGGAAAGACGTGATTAGAGTTGCACAGAGATTCCCAACGGGGCCCCTCCATGGTTCTGGTCCCCCAGAAATTGACTGCTGGGAGGCTGTTGTGCTGCTGCTGCTTGCCTGCTTGCAGCCTCCCCTAGGATCTGGGCTGGAAGCTGCTCTGCTCTCGGTGTACTTGTTCTTGTATGAGTGGAGGTGGAGGTACAATAACCTCTGAAACAACCTGATCCCTGTACACCAACCTGTGCAATTACAAAACCCCCAATACCCTGGGCAATTGAGAATCCAGCCCCAAATCTGACAGCAGTGCCCAGTTTTGAGCTTTTTTTCTCCTCCCTTATATTTTCACTCCCCCAGCTTACGTGTAACTTTGGTGAGATGCTTTAGCACCATCACATCCCTTCCAGGAACACAGGGCTTGTACCAGCGGCTTAACTGTGCTCTGTGTTAGATGAGAGCAGGACCCATTCTGGGAGATGCCACTTAGTTAATTAAATAAACCAGCAGCCTCTGAGCCAGGAGTGGAAACGAGAGCTAAAGGAGGAGGACGGGCTCTCTCCCTGCTCTGCTTCTGCTCCCTGTGCTTTGGTTCTGCAGCTGCCCAGCAGGGCTGAGCTCCTCCCAGCAGCTCAGGGTAAGGCTCTGTTTTCCCTAACACCCACTGGTATTCCAAATATTATGGTATGCCTTTCTTTTCTTTAAAGAAAAGGTGCTAAAATAAAAACAGGGCTGAAAGAAAAACAGAGGGCCTGTCCTGATTTGTGGTCCTTCCTTTCTCAGCTCTCTCCATGAACAAATTTATTAAGCTTGTTGGGGTTGTTTGTCTTTCCTCTTATAAAACGTCTTTCCCTCAAAAGGAAAAACTGCCAATGTATTATTAAAGCAAGGTCAGATCCCAGTGCCCTTTTCCCTGTTGATTCAGTGTTTGGAAAGAAAACTTAACGGGTAGTTTCTTTAAAAGGACACTGTTGAGAAGTAAGAAGTTGAGTTCAGTTTGCCTTTAGCCTTTAATTTTTCACTTTTCCATCCCTCTTTCATTCAGTGGAACACGACCTGTTTCTGTATATATGTGGTTTCCCAGCCTAATTTCTCTAGCACTGAGTATTTCCACTTGCATTACTTGTAAGAAAGATTGCATCTCCATTATAATTGACGAAACCACCTGCTTTATTAGAAATACAAACAATTGTCAAATGTTGTCACTGATTTTTATGGAGATTGGTTTTAAACACAGCCTTTGCTTTCCACCTAGTGCTGATCCCTTTAATTTGGTGCACATGGCTGTGCTAAGTAATATCTTTTAATGATCTCAGGCATATTGGAAAGGTAGATTTTTCAAAAGAGCTCAGCACCAGAGCTCTGAATAATTGATTTTTTACTTTGGGTTGTTAAACTGAGAAAAAAAAAAGAAGTTTCTTAATTTCTTTCTGATCCTGCTAAGAGGAGGATTATTTAGCAAAATAAATGGAATGCCTTAAATGTTTCGTTTGATTCATTTTTTGCTTCAGCTGCAAGCTCCAGAACCATTTAAATCCCTCCTTAAAAATTAAATGCTGATAATTTTTTGGAACTGATGTACTTGGGAAAGAGAACGAAACACTTCAGGACATCTTCAGAATGGGAGTAGCATTACTTATTTTCCCCAATAAACCCATTATTTCCCCCTTAAAGAAGCTGTGGCCTCAGTCCTACCATGTAGCAGTGACCATGGGAGGGTTCCTTCCCTGCTTCCTAAAAAATCAGCAGAGGAAAAGGATTTCATCTAGCAGGTGATTCAATCCTTCTGCCTTTCTTTAACAGCGATGGGGGGAGCACTCCTAAATTCATTCTGTCCTGTAAACACAGGAGGACAAGCTGTGGTTCTGTGGATGCACTGTGTTAGGCACTGCATGTATTGAGAAATGCTTAAGCGGGCTTCCTTGGCTCTTTAGGGAGTACAGATGACAGACTGTTGGAAAGCGATGTGGTTTGTAAATGAAAGGTGTTAACATCCTGAACAGCATGTAATTAGTCTGTATGAGCAACCAGGTTCATGCAGCTGAGCTCCATGAGGGTCCTACTGCTAAGGGTGCTCCGTGCTTGTAAGGCAGTGCAGGTGGATGTTAAACCAGTGCTTCATTGCAGTCTGAGCGGAGTTCTTCCATCCCCTTCACCTCAATCTGATCTGCTGTTTCTGCTGGGTACCCTAAAATAGCGTTCTGTTTGGTGCAGGCAGTTCAGCAGTGGGTGAGCAGATTCTTTTAGGGAATATTTAGGCATGAGGTACTCTGAGGCATGACAGAAAGTCTTGAAACACAAGGTGTCATATTTTTATCGCGGGATCTTTCTGTAAGTGTCTGTAAAACGAGAGCTGGCTGCTTATTTTGGAAGGAGGACTAACAGTGTTTTTATTATCTCCAAGCACGCTAAGCTGAGTCAGTGTAGTGTAATTAACGAGGCCATCTCCCATTAGGGGACAGCAGTAAGAGCTGTTGCTAATTACTTTGCAGGCGTCAGAGAGGTGTTGCTGCAGCAGGAGCTGGCGGTGCCCAGAAGATGGTGCAGGGAGATGTTGGCTCTTTGCAAGGCTACATCACCACCTTCTTGTGTTACCTCTGCAGAACTGCACTGCACGTTCCAGAGGGCTCTGGTGGCTCAGGTAGCAGGTCAGTGCTCACACCAGCAGAACCCCCTCCAGTGCTGATGTTTCCTTGCAGGGCCAGCTAGGCCTGGGGGAAGCAGTTTTCTGCATGCACAGAACCTGGGTGCCAGATTTATCTCCAGAGCAAAGAAATGTTTGATGGACAGTTTTGTTCTTGGGGAGGAATGTGTGAGACTGGCAGGTCAGTGCTGATAACCTTACCCAGAGAGCACTGAAATGTGATACACAGCATTGAATAGAGATCAGTCCTGGCCTCCTGCCATGCCAAACACAAGAGAAAATGCTACTGTTTTATAGACTTAACCCAACATTCCCATGATTGAACTTGGGAGTAGAGCAGCCCGGAGGAGCCTCTTTGTTATTCCCTCATCCATTTGTTCGGAGATGTGGGTGTAGAGCTGGAAATATCGAAGGCTTTATCTGCCTGACCTTCTGAGCATCAGGCTGTGAAATGTTGTCCATTAACCTCACAGCTGAGCCCACGAACTCACTTCTGGCTGAAACATCTTTGCCACTCTGTCTGGGCAGAGCAGGGAGCGGATAACCCACCGTTTTTCTTAATGGTTTCTCTTAATGGTTAGCCTGTCTGTTTAAAGCAGTAATTAGCTCTGCTGCTCCTCTTGTGTCCCTGTTTCATGGTTCGCTGTTGTTTGGAAGTTGCACGCAGGAAGGTTGCTGCAGGTTGGGAGAGAGGTGACGTGGTGGGTTTGGATAGAGGGGCACAATGTATGTAGAGGGAGAGGTGTAAGATTGGGCTCTCAGGAGTAAGGCTGTATTTTGGTATCTGTAGGCGCTGGGGTTTAGTGGGGGCTCAGTTTGGGTGTTGGCAGAACTGGGTGAAATCTTCGAGGAATTGCTGGAGGTCCAGAGAGGATGGCAGCTCACTGCTTTGGCTCCAGGGCTGATTCAGCAGCTCCCTGCTCCTGCCTTGGTCGAACTGCTGGAAAACTCCAGCGTTCCCCCATGCCCTTCCTGGATACATTACTTTTGCACTTTTGTTGTCACAAGCCCTAAATTCACTCATGAAATCATTCAATTCTTGTTTTGTTAATATGCTTCTTTAGGGTCCATAATTGCAGCTGCTGCTGAGATAACAAAATCTGCTTTGAGACCACCAGCATAGCCCCTGGGAAGCACTGAGCTCCCTCCGTGTCAGGATGTGCTTTCTGCAGGGCAGCTGAGTCAAGGGCTAGATTTGCCTTGCTCTGAGCTGAACAAATACAGCAAGGCACAGCCTACTCCAAGCTTCTTTAGTACTGCTTTCACCATCAAGCAGCAGCTTGCTGGGTCCAGCAAGGTGAGCAGTATTTTACTGAAGAAAAACTGTGTGTGAGTGTTGTGACAGGCAGCCTGGCAGCTGGGGGTTGCCTCCTGAGCAGCTTTGGATCGACTGTCTCTGTTTGCAGAGCACATTTTTTCAGGGCTTGTCATACTTAAGGGCGTTGATTTTAAAGTATTTTCTTTGGACAACAACTTGACAGTAGAGGAATGGGCTCCAAGAAGGAATGGCATTGACTGGGATGTCTTCACTCTGGATGTCAGCGGTATCCAGAGAAGGATTTGTTCACAAAACCTTTCCTTGGATCTCTCCCAAAGCAAGTGCCTAAAGAATTGTGGAGAATTGTTGGCTTCCCCAGGGATGGGTGCCGTTTTGAGTGAAGCCATTTCAAATAGCTCATGCAACTCAGGGAAGTGGCACAACGGCACGGTAAAGAACGGAACTGTGGGCTGATGGACCCCTAGCATCAGTAAATGCCTGCTTTGAGAGCTCTGGAGCCTGCCCTTCCCTTCTGACACATCCCATTTGGGGCAGGAAGGTGGGGTTTGCAGCTGGAACAGTTTCAGTGAGCGATTCTGGTTGGCAAAGCATGAAGTTTATGACTCTACACATGGGGTGGTGACTTTTGTTCTCATCTTGGATATATGTTGGAGGATACCTCAGCTGTAGTGGGATGAGCCAGGGTCTGGAGCTCAAGAAGGCTTAAAGAGCTCAGTGCCTGCATCTTATTGAAGAGAAAGTTCAGAAACAATGTGATTCCCTGCACCAGGAGAGGATTTCTGATGTGTAACGGATATAAGAAGATCCAGTGGATGGAAATTGAACTCAGGTTGGAAATGAGACAACTGTGGAGCAGCATGGTAATTACCCAGTGGAGCAGCTGCTCAACGAGGGGAGGGGGAAATTCATTCCTGCTTGGATGCCTCACCTTGAACCTGGATATCTTCCTAGAAGAGATGCTTTAGTTCAGCTATGTGTGAGCTGGATAGTATTATGCACTGATGGGAGAAACAAGCTCAAAAATGGTGTCCTGGATCTTTTCATATACTGGGCAGCTTTCCCTTGTGTTGCTGAGCTCACTACAAAAGTAGTTATTTCACCATTGAAAGGCAGTAGCTGCTCTGGGTTCTACAGCCTTTTAAAGTCACTCTAATTGCTATGGGGAGAACTTGATACTGACTGGTTACCTGTCACAGTTTAGAACACTTGAGTTTGATGCTGTAAGTAGATGCAATCAGCCTCCCTCCAACATGCTATGGGATAGGTGTGGGAAATGCAGATATCTGCTGTATCACGAAGGGAAATGTGTTCACACTAAATGGAAAACTTGCTGCTTTTAGTTTGCTTGTTTTTTGTTTTTTTTTTTTGTTTTGTTTTGTCATGGAAAACCAAATAACAATGGGACAACCAAAATGTTTCACTTTACCCCCAGAATGTTGTGCTTCATTGCACAGTGCTTTCTGCCATGCATTCATCCTCTTTCCTTTACAATCTCAATTTTTAGACAAGCAAACAAAAATGTCACTTGGAGACAAAACAGCGGAAAGTCTGGTTCTGAATACTGGCAGCTCTGGCTGTCATCTCCGTGCCAGGGATCTCCTCTTTCCCCAGCTGTCCGTGCAGGGAAGGCTGCTTGTGGCTGTGGATGAAGACGTCAGCACAGCTGAGGCAGCGATGCTCACAAGGGCAGTGGATGCCGTGTTTTGCACTGCGCACGTCTCGAAGCTGTGCATGGGCTGTGCTGTGGCCGTGCAGGTGCCACCAGTGCATCCAACAGCTGCATGTGTGCCTTGTGGGTGTCAGCAAGCGCTGCTCTCGTGCAGCAGGACCGCCGTTTGAGGAAGCAGAACGGCACATCGAGGAACGAAGTGCCATTTCTGTGCAGCACGTGTAGCGTTCTGAGAGGCTGAGCTAAGATAAGGTGGAATGGGACGTAAATCACCATCAAATAGCTGTGGCATGATGCTGTGTTTTCCCCGTTTCTCTTTGCTGTATTCCTCTCAGTTCATCAGTTTTACGGCAGAGGCTTGGAACAGCTCTGTGCCTGATTCTTGTTAAAAGTTGTTCACATCTGTTAATGTGGGACAGCTGCTGTGGCTGTCGCAGCGTTTCTGGATTGCAGGTCAGTGTAAAGGGATTTGGATAGCACAGTTCCACCTGAAGGGCTGTCTTGCTCATTCTGGTATGCTGGATGACTCCTGCAAGCAGTTCTCCTGAGCTATCACAAGGGGTTGTAATAAATCTTAACGAGGCACTCCTGCTATGATAAATCACTTGTTTCTCTGGTAGGATCTTGGATTATGGTCTCTGTGGAAAACGGGAGGAACCTCAAACCCTGCTTTGAGATGGTTACCTGGCTGTTTACCATCCAGCCAGAAAACATTACAGCAGTTATCCAGAAGCCTCAGGATGCTGTCTGCTATTTGTAAAAGTCAATGCATGCTTCCTAAGGCAAGCAACTGCTCTTGAAATTAGGTGCTTTGTTTTACCCAAGTCCACGAGGTAAAAGGATTCTTCCCTTTCCCTACTTCTTGTGTTAAAAAGGATCCAGAAGGGATTTACAACCAAATCAAGAGAAGAGGTGACCAACGCAGAAGTAAATCCCACCTGTGCAAGCATTTTGTTTGGTGCCGCTGAGGTGAGATTGGAAAACACATAGAAGTCAGTGGCTGTTCTCCTGAGGAGCTCAGAAGCTGAAATAAAAACCAAAACAAACTGAAGATCAGAGGTGACCAAATGTACATGATAGATTAGGCCAGTCGTGCACTTTCACCACAGCCCCTTTTCCCTTCCTTTCCATGCTACCCTTTCCATGTTAGCTATTCTTTGGGGTATTCCCTTATATGATTTTTGCTGTCAGCAGTAAGCAGGCACTTGGAAACGTCCTAATCTGGGAAGATTTCCAGATGAAATGGGCATGCAGTGGGCATGTTCTGAGGGTGTGGGGACATCCACAGGAGCTGTGACAGGTGTGAATTAACATCATTGCTAATTTGCCTTTCTCTCAACAGACAGCAAAATTCACTGGTTTCAGTCTGTGGTGTGATGGAAGGCAGATCCTATCAGAAACATCTCTATGTCATCTGGTTGGCCACGACACCTGCAGGTTAGTTTCTAATTCAGTAATGCACTGACCTCTTGATTAAAACATCTGCATAGTTTGTAACTAAAGAAGAATCCTATGGGATCAAAACTTGCTGAAATATATCTGTGTCTTTAGTTGGTTGCAATAGACTATGATGGAACCCTCTAAATGATGGTGTAAGTGCTGTGCTTGTGAAAGACAGGTTGGACAAAGGTGTTGGGGTGATTAATACTGAGGAGAAGTTAGGTTACATTGATGTACATTCTTTAGTTAAGTGGACTCAAGCCAGCAAAATTACCTTAATCTAGGCAACTGCTGTTGTGTAATCCTGTAAGCAGGTTTAATCTGTAGCCTGAGACACTCTGCCAGAGGTTCATCCCATTAAACTTGGGGACCAAACTGTGGTATCTAAGGTAGAATGTCATCACCCTCAATGGTGGAGAGATATTAGCATGGCCAAGGGGTGATCTAGATCTTGTTCCATGGCAGGGGATTGGGACAAGGTGATCTTTAAGGTCCCCTTCAGCCTAATCAGTTCTGTGATTCTGTGATTCCCTGGTCTTGGCTTCTTACTGCCTGGGTAGGCGCTTTTTCTCTTTGGATGAAGAGAGGTGAGGGAAGGGGCTGCTGTCTGGTGGGGACAGTCTGGATCTACAACGTGGAGGGATGGAAACCTGAGAAGGTTCCATCTTGGATCTACAACTTAGAGGGAACAGAACCTGAGAAGTATTGCAGACATCCTTGTTGGCAGGAATTCTCAGGGAATTGCTGTGACTGGAAGGGTCAAGCTGCCTTTGGATGGGCTTGGGGAGTTGTTTTAAGATGCAATCTGATAGATTTATGGAAGGGATTATGTAACAAAACAGCAATGCCTAGGACCTGAAAAAGCTTTTTTTGAGTCCTTGCATATCCAATCTGTTGATATCCCCAACATTTTTGAAAAGACATCGGATCAATTTTTAAACCCTATTTATACAAAAAAGCATAATTATTGTTTTTTTTTTTCTGCTTGGCTAGGGAAGCTCTTGCTGGGGCCTCCAGCACAGCAGGAGGTGAGCAGCTCCCTTCAGACCTGTTGGCATCACGTCCTTGTAAATGCCCAAGCACTGTGCTCAGTCCCCACATATGGGATCAAGAGGGAATTTTCCATCCGGATTCATTTGGTTAGGACTGTTGGAGATTGTTTGGTGGTGGTAGGCAGAGCTTTTTTTTTTTCTTTTTTTTGGTTGTGTTTCTTTTGCCCTTCTGCATAACAGGGTCTGCTTCCCATGTTCTCCTAGGAGATGCATTTAACAAATTCCCTGCTAATGTCCTCCTTGTGTTTCCTCAGCATGAGGAGCCCACAGGGGAGAGGGCTCTGCCATGCCATTTCTGCCAGACTTGTGAAAGATAGGAGAAGAGACCGGGGGGAAGGGGAGGAGTGATGATAAATGAGGCCTATTTTGAGTGGGGAATGGAGTGCAGGCCTGGGGAAAGACAGACAGAACTCATACTGATGAAATGCAATTGCTGATGGACTGGTTACATTCAAAAGGCAATGGCCCGGGCCCAGATGTTTAAGAACTTCATCATGACTTGAAAGTGGCATAACAATAAAAGGGCTCTTGTTTGGAAATACTTTGTTAGAGATTAGGAAAAAAAAAAAAAAAAGGCTCTTTTATAGTGAGCTGTTCCATCTGGCATTGAAATCCTTGTGTCCTGGGCATGGAGAAGCAGTGATGTAACTGTGGAGTTCCACCATCATTGAATGGATTTGCTGCCACAGCTCAGCTCTAAGAGGGATTCATCTTCTCCATGGATGGATGAGTGTAGCCACGCTGCTGTGGCTGTAGGGCAGGATTCTTGGTGGTGCAGGGGGTGAGCAAAGGGGAGGGAGTCCCTGAAGTTAATGGAGAGGAGTGAAAGCTGCTGTGTGTCAAAAGATTTGGCACCCCCTGATTCCAGGACACAGAGAGCCTGTAACCATCCCATTTATGCCCCTTGTCCAATGTTAGGTCCAAGCCAGACCTCAGAGTGGTCCATGAGGTGCCAGAGGAGCAGCTTCTTGGGTGATACTGCAGTAAAACTGTAAGATCAAACTCAGGAATTTGGCTGTGGATAAATGAAACTGCAGCGTTAGAAGCAGAGCAGGGCAGACCCACCTGCTTAGCACTCAGCACTGCAGATCTGCTTCAGCTGCCAGCAAACTCCAGTTAGCAATCACAAGCCTGACGACATGAGCAGCAGTATTCCCATGGTCTTCTGGGGACAGCACTCTGCCCTCATGCTTTCAAATGTGTAGCTGGATCTTTCCCAGTGATCCCATTAAGACTCTTAGGGGAAATGCAAGGAAATTATGTTAAGAAGATAATTACAGGGTAGCCCGGATAAAAAGGCAGGTCAAGAACGATTTGAAGAGTTGGGGAATGAGTTCAGCCAGCTGAAGAGGTGTCATAAGGTGTCCCCTCTCTCTAAGGCTGCCTCAGATGAAACTTCAGCTTTTTACATGCTCCTCTGGTTTCCAGTATTTCTCTGGCACAGAAAACTCTCCTTGCTGTATGTATACCAGGTACTGCCAGAGCTGGAGTTAGCTGAGAACAGTTGGATTATAGGATTTAGAGACAGATGGGACCTTTTTCATTATGTTTTTTTATGATTAGCTCGCAACATAACATGTGAGGCAGTCACGTATTTCATATTCACACAACAAATTATGCATCTACTATGAAATAGCTCTCGTTTCCTTCTCTGGAATAAAGTATAATTTCCATCTGGAATATATAATGTGGTTTCCATATGTAGAAATGGAGACATGTTACAAGTATCAAAGCGGTATGAACATTTTGGATGGTAATATGCTGTAGAAGTGTCTGTCCAGAGAATGGAGGAGAGCTGTCAGTTGATATATGCATTCTAAGACGTAACTTGAGAGTGGGTTTTAAGCTCAGTGGGATCCTCAAACCTGGTCTTCTGGTTAAGGATACTGAGTGCAGGACATCAGTACTGGAGAGGGCTGTAGTGCTTGTGATTCTGCCTGAAGTCTGGTCTGCTCTGGCCATAGGAAGAAGAGGTCAAATCAGCTTTGAAGTCTGGAAAATACTTGGTTACTTGCTTTCCAGAGCTCAGCTTGGGTGGTGTGTCCTGGAGGGTGGGCTGAGCATCGTGCTTCCATACTGGTCCTCCCCGATGTGCCAGTCTCATTCTGGGGTTAGTCCAACCAGGGGTGTTTGGGAGAAGCTGCTACAAACTGTTGCTACAGACCTGTTTTGGCCAGGATTTGTGATGCTGTGCAGATAGCCGTGAGTCTTGGTGTGTGTCTGCAGATAGTGTGGAGGCTGTTGAGGATTTCTGCTGTGCTTTCTCCATGTCAGATAGGCAGTCTGGCTGCAAACAGCAGAAGGTGCCCTGCTACCAATTCAACATCTTTGTTTCTGGATAGTTTCTGTTACACATAGGGCATGTCACAGTTTTCACTTTTTTCTTTTTTTTGAAAAAAAACCACCTTATGATATCCTCCAAGCCTGTTTCCAATGGGTGAATGGATGATTTATTGCACTGGGCAGTTTAGTGAATATCTATAGAAATGGCATCTGGTCTCCAAATGGAGACCTTCTCCCCCCTCCAGGTCCTTAAGAGAACATGACAGTAATGGAGCAATAATGAAATGTTTCAAGAGGAGTGTCGGAAAGTTCAGAGTGGTGTGGGGGAGTTATAAATCTGGGCTGCATTTGGCATGAGGAAGAAACCCCTTTATAAACTTATTAGCTGCTGACACTGTGCTTCTCTCACCTTGCCCAAGATGTAAAGCTCACCTCAACGCCGTCGCACTGCCTTTCACTTGCACCTGCCTCAAGGTGCTGCCATCTCAGCACCGCTTTTTACTTCCCAGGAGATCAGTAGCAGGGAGATCAAGCACACACTGATGCTTTTGGTATTTTCTGTCTAGCGTCTCCATGCTGCCCTGCAGGCCTTCACCTGCCTTTACCCACTCAAAATGAGAGCAGACAGCACCTGGCATCCCCTGGGCTGCCCAGGAGGTCTTCAGGTTCTTGGTACTGTGAGAAACCTTCCTTCCATGCAGTCAAGGTTGCTAATTCCTTCAATAAGAGTATGGACCAAATACGGGCACTTCAGAGGGGTGATCAGAACATCTCCCTTTTGAAGCAGTATGTCTCAACAAAATACCAAAGCCTTGACTTCAGTGTTGTTCAGACTAGCTTTTGGGTGCCTAGATGACAACTTCTTTCAACGCTGTAATCATCTGTTAATTATTCATGTTGTTTCCAATTTGTGTGTTTGACAAGATTGTGCTCTTCCTTTCCTCCTCAGGAAGACAGCTTCAAGTTCCAACTTTGGAATCTTTTAGCACTGAAAATCTATTTGTGACATGTCAAATTGAACTAATAGCTTGGAAATCTAGCACTCAGCAACCCTGACACAGAGAGGTAGGAAATAGGTGATTTGAGGTGCCTTCCAACCCAAGCCATTCTATTATTTTATGAATACATTGCACCCAGCTTTCAATCTAAAGTGTGGTGACTCACCTAAGGAAATTGCAGAGGCTGCAGCTACAAACAGAGGTGGTACTTACCATGGCTGAATCATAGAATGGCCTGGGTTGAAAAGGAGCACAATGCTTATCTGAATCCAACCCCCTGCTGTGTGCAGGTCACCAACCAGCAGCCCATTCACAGGGTTGCCCAGAGCCACATCCAGCCTGGCCTTGAATGTCTGCAGGGATGGGGCATCCACAGCCTCCTTGGGCAACCTGTTCCAGTGCCTCACCACCCTCTGGGTGAAAAACTTCCTCCTAATATCCAACCTAAACCTCCCCTGTCTCAGTTTAAAACCATTCTCCTTGTCCTATTACCATCCACCCTCGTAAACAGCCGTTCCTCCTCCTGTTTATAGGCTCCTTCAGAATCATGTAAGGAAGGGGGCTGAAGATATGGGACTGACTGAGAAATATGTTCCTGATCTGGCTTTGTGAGTCGTGCAAACTCTTATTTCTGCAGTCAGTGGTTACAAAATACTGCTAAGTG